ATAGGAGTAGGAAAGACAACATTAGCCCTAAAACTCAAAGAATACCTTATGAAAATAGGACATAAAGTATTCCTAATAGAAGAAATAACCTTACAACACAAAGATTGGTTATCTATAATGTATTCAGACCTTGAAAAATACTCAGTAGCATTCCAAATATTACTCATAATTCAATGGAATATTAACTATCAAAAATTAAAAAGATTAGAACTCGAAGGAGTATTAGATGAAAATACTATTATAATCTGCGATCGAACAGCAGTAGAAACACAAGTCTTTACCAAAAGAAATGTAAAAGAAGAAGAAGCAATAATAGCACTTAGAAAACTGCTTAAACAAACTGAAACACAAATATTTAAGGATACATACTACCAGCTATATATCAAATGTGAAAAAGAAGAAATAATCCGAAGACAGGCTACAAAAATCGACAAGAAGAAAGAGATATAGATAAACAATATCTATATGACATATATGATATGTATGAAGAAATAATAGGAATAGTATATCCAAAATACATTGAAATACCAACAAACATATTGAATCCAGAAAACATGTTTAGATCATTATTTATACATGAACCAAAAGGATTAAATAGACCAGAGGAATTGACTTTCCTTAAGGAAATACAGACTGATATTAAAAAATCAACAAAACGACAATATACAATTATAACAATCTTCCGAGAAAGAGAGTTAGTAACACAACCAATCCAAACTTTAGCAGCCAAATGGTCAAAAAATGCTAAAATATATCCCGAACAATATACAGGATTCGGAGGACATTTAGAAGAATATGATAAAACATATTGGAATTGCATAATTAGAGAAACACAAGAAGAAATAGGATTCCAACTGAAACCAGAAAGACTACAGTTTATACGAACACACGACTATTTATCTAAAAACAGATCAGGAACAGATCCTATTACCAACACCGATAAAAATGAATCCTTTGAACCAATATATTATATAGAAATAGCAATGTACTTATATTTAGCATTACCACACGAATGGGATAATATTAAACACAAAGAACCTGAAAACATGAGTAAACCCCAATGGATGACAAGAAACCAAATGAACCATCAAATATGGACACCATCCATTCAATATTACAAAGACCAAATATTCGACGAGTATATACCACAATATCTTGAAGAATGGACCAATTATGGAAAGATCACCAATAATCTATTCCAACAACAATTTCCAGATAAAGAAATTCCGAATGAATACAAAACACCATATGACGGTGACAAACAAGAGATTATGGCAGAAAAGCCTAATCACCTGTGAACGCTTTATCACAATTCACCGCCAAGGGCCCTAGCACAGCATCCGGTGCACATGGTATCCCGACCGGCACCGATTCCGATCACGCCCATTACACATAATGCTCATCACACTTACAGAAGAATGCGATTACCAAAATCGCGCAAATCCTGGAATTACCAAAATCGGTAACCCGATTATCAAAACAACATTATTAAACTTATAATTATTAACCTTCGCTTATAAATAAATCTTTTACAAATCAACATTATTAATTAGCTTATTAATCATATTAGTTATATATTAGTCATAGCTTACAAATAGCTAGTTATATTAGTAATTTAGCTTAATAATCTTTATAGCATAGTCTTCTTGAATGTATTTAAACAATAGTTTTTGACCTTTGAAACATTAGCGGGTTTCACCCCTTGACACTACTAAATTGGAGCTACAAATATGTACACAATTTGATTTAGCTCAGCCCTAATAACATAGCCCCTTAGATAGCTCTAATGGCCTCACAACAGAAAAAGAAATAATCCTCAAAGCGTCTAATACAATGAAGATGTGTTAGCTACAATGCTTACATAAGAACACTTAGAAGTAATGAGCAATAAAGCAGCTCAAACAAAAAACTGATAATAGTCTTCCCCTTCTACTATAATGAACTCTCAAATCTGAACTATTAATTTGGAACTCAGAAAGAAGAAACATTATGTGCTGAATCAAGAAAAGAAACACTCAAAAGAATAAACGCCTAAATACTTATAAAAGTGGCAGGAAGAATTAATAATCAAAAATCCTGCTAAGGCAACCAACAATAAGCACCCAACATACAATGGTTATTAAAACCAATCTATACCAATGATGTGATAGCGATCTGACAAATCTCATATGCCCAAAGGCATCCAATGAGACTATAGGAGTCTAGACATGGCAACGAATAATATTAAGGAACAATAATATTATTGTTGCCTCTTCACAATCAATATTGGACAATAGGTGCTCACACGAACTCTTTTACCTAAAAGAGAAATCACTATAATATGTGAACCTGAGGATTGTTCACAAAAGAATAATATAAAATAGATGGCGCTCTACAATACAATGAGACCATATTATATTCACATAATATAAAAGAGATGACATGGAAATAACAGACATTCGGGAATAGAACCAAAGAGCTAAAAGAATATTAACAAATATAATTAGTATAGTACTTCACTAAATAAATTTAATAAAAACTAATTTATTAAATATAAACCTTGTGCAAGTAAAATAGTATAATCCTATAATCCTTCTACATAAACATAACAGTAAATAACCTGACACCAAAGTGATAAAAGCTTAGATAGCTTAAATGCCCAAATAAAGGCATAGTAGAAACCAAGTAGTACCTTAGAGACTTTATCCACCTCTGAATAAATTAACAAAACTATTTCACAAGAGAGAGAGCACGGCCTAGCCTACCGTGAAATTAGTAGCGCAAAAGACGTTCACCACTACAAACCACATCCATACTAACAAAACTTATAACAGAAAGGTGTATAGAAAAGAAATAAACTATACAACTATCTAAACCAAACTTACCAAGCAAACGTATTGCAAAATGAATAGAGCTTAAACAACTCTTAAGCAAGTATTATTGAAGGAAAGCTTACTCTAATTCGGAAGATTAACTATAATAATCAACCTAATCTGATATTGACAACCAGTAAGGCTGAAAAGGCTAAAACAAAACCTTATCATTAAAACTCACAAACTGATTATCTGACAAGACAACTATATTGAAACCACTAGAAATTAGTAATTTAATAATACAAATACGAAACCTATTATTACAAAGCAAAATTTGCTTAATAATCTTTACATTAGTAATCTGCTTACAAACCAGAATCTCCAAAACTGATATAATAAACGTAACAGTTGCCTTACCAACAAACACTCAAGTTGCCACTACAATAAGTGCTATTGTAACCCAAACATCTTTGATTACAAATCAACCAGACTTCTTGCCAGACAAAAAAGCTATAAACACCTTTGTTGCATTAATAATCACCATATTAACTGCAATAACTACCATAACTGAAATAATACTCACATATAAAAGAAAACTCTGTAATGACAAAAAACAGATTATAAAGCTTCAAAACTCAACACTACCACAGTATAATCAAACTGACTTAATCGGATAAACTTTGATGACAAATCTATTGGAATTGATAAAACAATACAAGAGAATAATTATTACCTCAATAATTGAATTAATAAAAGAAAACACAACCACACTGATGAATAATACACCAACACGTACATAATCACAACAATTCTATTAATAATCATAATAGAATTAATAATCATAATAACAATAATATTATCCACAACAATATTAATAATTAATAATCATTTAACTTATAAATTAATATCAACAATTGATGACTGAAACTAATTTAACAATAAGCTGCAACACTTTTGAAAACAACCCTTTAGCTACACAACTATTGTACGGATTAATAATAGAAACCTTTGTAGCATTACTAATCATAGTAATACTCTATTGTTGTTGTAAACACCAAAGATATAAAAAGAAGGTCAACAAGGACATACCTGGAGCAAATCAATATCTACAACAATCTACCTGTTGCTAAAAAAGAAATTTAACCTTATATGCCTAACACTAGACCACCCAGACTTTGGACAAATCAAAAGACAATAACTATTCCAAACTCTAATAGACAAGTACACTTTCAAGTACTAGTAGTACCACCGAAACCTTGAAATCTCCAATCTAATCCAATATTAAGAACACAATCACAAAGTTCAAGAGATACACAAGTCCTACAAAGACTTAATCAACTTTTTGAATTTAGACCTTAATTAAATAATATAGTACCACAACCAAGACCAATTGGTACAACACTGCAACCAATAGGAATAACACCATGACTCAATGAGACATTCCGACCAGGAGTAATACCACCTCAACCAATAGGAATAACACCACGATCTAACATGACATTCCGACCAGGAGTAATACCACCTGCATCACCTTTACCAACCAATAAATCATATTGGAAAAGAAAATAAATATTAACAATTGACAAAACATCGCAAAAAATAACAACCAAACTTGAAATTACAGGAGGAATAATTACCTTTGCAATAATCTTAATAGACATAGTAATACTCATAATTATACTTCAATATAAGAAGTAAAGATATCAACAACATATACAACCAATAACACCAGGAACAGAACCATTCCAAGGCATAACCAAGCAACAACTAAATCGAAAAGTTCTAGGACCAAATATTAATAAAGTCATCAATCTATTTGGAACAAGATATTAATGAGCAACGTAGTTATACCAATAACTATTATATCATCAACTATAATCTCAACCTTATTCTCAACAATAATATCGACAATAACACCAACAAATACACCAATAATCACTGAATCACCACAATTCATACTTGACCCAAATGTACAAGAATTACTTGAAATAAAAGTAGCTGCAATAGTATTAATAGCTATAACAGTAATTATAGTAATTAAAAGAAGAAAAGATATTAAAAGAAAATATCTAGAACACAATATTCAAAAAGAAAATGCTGAATTAGCAGCACAAGTTAAAAATGTAATAACAAGTTAAACACTATGGATAACCAACAAGAAACAACAAGTGAATCAACACTACCAATATTCAAAATATTTGCAAACTTCACATTGTGGATGAACAACCTTTGCATCTCAGTAACCGCATTTGACAGAATAGTATTATCAGCAGCATACATTATAGAAGTAGCAATATTAGTAGCAGCAATTTGCTACGCACTATTAATTCTATCAGAATTATATATTAATGTAATTGACATAACAACTAGACTAAGAAAACTTAATGAACAAGAAAACTGCAGATTATTACCACAATAAACGCAAGTATATTATTAAATCAGACTATAAAGGAATAGTATTATCACTTCTAGAACCACCTAAGGAAGTATACAAAGAAATAACTATTATCAAAGAATAAGAAATTCCTAAACAACCACCTGTCATCAGACCAAGACCAAAAATCATAACAAAAAGTCAAACTATAAAAGAAATTGCAGAAAGATATATACTTCACGAATATAAAGAAGCCCATATTAATGGGAAATTAGTACCAAGATCATATCTAAAATTATTACAACTAGCAATACAATACAAAGAATCAGAAGAGTTTATAAAGAAACTTCCTGAAGAAGCAAACTTAAAACCAGAATTCTTTACTAGTAAATGAACCCTGAAACAGAAATAATCTTCCAAGAAGTTTTCAACCAATTCTTTCAAAAATATCCAAAACCTTTGCAAAACACAAAGAAAGCAAAAATCAAAAAAGTCATATCAAGATTATATTATAAACTAAATAATCTAGGAACACTAGCAACAAGAAAAGTAATCAAAACATGAACGTATAACCAAAATAGAATCTGGACATATGAGGAAGAAGAAAATAACTATATTGATATCACAGAAGAAGAAATAGCAGCTCTATTATTATACTCATACTTAGTAGGAGAAAAACAAATTCTAGAAGACATACTTCAAGTAACCAGAGCAACTAAAGATAATATCAGAAAGTGGTTAAAAACAGCACAGTGCGAATATCAATTTAAATTAATAAATTACAGGGAGTATTTTAGTTAAAAATGGCAACAAAACTGAAAATACCAAATATTCAAGGACTAGAAAATACAATACAAACTTTCAATAGAGACTCTAAAAAATATATCAAATAGAAAAACCAAACTGAAACCACAATTTCTTCATATGTACTAAAAATATTATTTGAATTCGGAGTATTCTCAGGAAATTCTGATGAAGGATATACAAGACAAAATGCCAACTATCAAATAGCAAATGCAAACAATAACCCAAAAGTATTTTGCAACACTTCATTATGGAGAGCAATAATGGCAAAAGTATCTACTATACTATTTGATGTAGCATTAGATATTTATAAAGAAAATAAAGATGA